AAATCCCGTACAAGCAAATTTGCTTTCTAACAAGTTTTGAGCCCAACAAGGTCTACTGAGGTCCAAATCGCAATAATAAAGGGGTGGCAATCACATATTTTTTCCGGCCCGGAATATCCCGATTTTATTAGATTTCCTTTTATTTGTACTACAGGTACTACGAGCTGCACTACCTGGTCCTACCGTCACCCCCGACATTTATTATTGCGATTTTTTTTTTATAAGCCCGAATCGGTAAACAAGTTCTGGAGGGGGGGGGAGGGGGTTTATTAATGTCACGGTAACAGTAAGGCTTTCAGAACACTGCCAGGCCTTCGTAAAGTGGCCTTCGCCGACTGGATGCGACAGCTGATACCTGTGGCAGCACCATCGCTTCACGCTCGAGTCTTGGTCTGTTGGACAAGCATCTTATGATTCCAGAAGCACTAGTTAGGGCAGTGCACGCTGATAGACGTGGCTGCTAGCATCGCACAAAATCGTGCGTCAGCCGCAGGGCCTCTGGGCGAGGATTTCCCCGCTGGCCAGACCTTGGGCAGCTACAGTCTGCTGCAAATCATCAGCAAAGAGTGCTGTGGCGTGTATTAACTTTCGTTATGTAGCCGCCAAGGCCAGCGCATTTGCTACTCAAATGTTCCCGTGCATGGCCACCTGAGCACACAATCGGATAGAACCAGGCACAGAAAATGGTCAACATCATGAACGATGAATGGGAGCTAGCTAGCGATAACGCTAACGCTGCAAACCCCAGCTCTGGAACCAAACCGGGCCAATCATAGCGCTGTATAATGCAGCCGCTGATATGACATAGTCAGCACCTCTGAGGTCACAGCCACATACATCACGTCGCAAGCGCACTCGAACGAAGGTCCAAGTTTCTGTCAGCAAGAGATCATGCTCGCATTGAATTTGTGTGGGACCACACTGCAAAGCACGAAGCAGCCATGAGCACAAATCCCCACCCAAAAAAACACCTGCCCAAACAGCTTCGCACCTGGCCCGTCCTCTGGCAGGAGTCGACTAGACACCTCAGGTGGACGCAGCATGGTCTCAAAAGGGCTTGACCAACAAAGGATTGCCAGCCTGGCCCACGACATTTCTGTCCGTCTTTCTAGCGGAGTTGAGAGGGTAGCCACATTTAGAGTGTCGATGTGATAAAATACAGAATTCCAAGCCAGCTTGCACTATAGAAGCCCTCATTAATTTGAAATGACATTTTGAAATCCTACTAAAGGTCAAATTTTGAAACCTCAAAATCTTAGGAGGGTCTTGCTTATCAGGAGCTCAGATTGAAAATGCTTGGGTTTTAGGAAAATTCAATCACTCGGCTGTTGTAAAAATGACAAAATAGAAGATCTGATCTGATTCCGAGGCCCTTAAAAATTGTAAGGAAGTAAAAGTTCAAGCGTTGTTTCTTGAGCTGCCCTTTCCGGAAATTGCACGAGAGGATCTTTTTTTGCAACACCCACGGAAAAATAATATGAATCTTACTCAAGATCAGCAGACGCTGAACTTTTATAGACAAACTCAATTACTGCGCTGCCCTCCAAACAAGAACGCGAAAACTGATTTGGAAATCTGATGTGTTACAAAAAGTCGTTGGGGTTTAAAGCCTCAAACAACGCTTCCTCAGTTACCCCTTGCAAACCTTTCGTGAAAGGCTCTCTCTCATTCATGGCATGATAGAATAACTCCTATAAAAATGGTGAGAGACTCCGGAATCAATAATGCACTAAGCTTAAGAACACTTACTCCGTTTTACTCCCACTCCAATTCTAAATTTTCCTGCTCCCTCTCACTCTCACTCTTACAGCTCCCCCTCAGTTCTTTGTTTCGGAAGCTTTGTCAGCGCCCCATTACGTGGTTGCACCTTGGGTGAGTCGGCTAGTCACTTACTTGCTTTCCGATTGAATATCACTACTACGTATTCTAAACGTTTTGCCTTTTTCATTACTTGGCACTTAGGAGAGGACCTTGCTACTAAAGCAGCAGCGCTTCGTGGAATGCAAATGCTCAGTCAACACTTTCGTTCTTGTTTGAATGCATGGGGCATGTGTTCCAACAAATTTTGGCGTGGGCGTATACGTCTGCCCTGCGCAGGGTCAGTGCCTCGGGGATGCTTGCCGCACCTGGCCGAGTTGCCTGATACCTGAGTGCTGCACACCCCCTGACCAAGACATCTAAGTAGACGACTCTTGGAACCCCATCTACCTTCTAACAATCCTTCGCGGACTGCTTCGCAAGCCATGCCGAACCTGCACACTGCTGAAGCGGCGAAAAGATGGCTAGCCCCGGCTAGCCCTCTAAATCACGTGCTCATTTTTTGCACCATCACTGCGGGAGGATGAAGCTGATCCTGACTTGGAAGATGCCGACAAAGAACCTGAGGAACTCGTCCGCCTCCCAGATCTAGTGTCATCTGGCCGGAACTTCTGTGCGCGGATGCTCCTGAACAATGTTTGCAAGCTCCTGTGGGCCTGCCGCGGTGTCCCAGGTCAGGGTTGAAGAATTTGTCATTCTGCCATGGTACTCTAAAATGGTCCTGTCAAGAACATCCGTGCTAGCTTTTGCAGCCCATGAACAAAATGTTGCGGTCAAGCTGTGGCTCGTATAATCTGGGGCTGAATTCCGTACTCCTGGCCAACAGTGGTTAAGAAAGCTCTCAACCAGCTACTGGCTCTCGTAGTGCTCATGTTGCAATGCAGTATAGTTTGCCATCGGCCGTTGTGTTCGGGAGCATGGGGTGCTCTGAGATGTCTCCTGATGTGGGTAACTGACACTTCTTTGCGGTAAGCCAACCACGCTGACACGCGCTGTTTGTCTCTTACGCCCATCAGAGGCACGACAGCCGGGAGCATGAATCGCTTCCTCCCACGCCTTAGACTGTTTGGCAATGCCCTGGTCCAGGGTGATGCTGATTGCTCTCCTGAGGTCGCTGCGACTTCCATTCATTCCAAAGTGATCTGAGATAGCGGTCGTACCCCCCATCCGCCACCTTTTGACCTTTGTGGCCCTAGACAAGGAACAGCTGCCTAGCTTCTTCTGCGCAGTGTGGAACCTGGAATCACGCTCCTGCGGAGTCAGGCGCTTAACACCTTCGACCTCTGGTGAACTGATGGGCCGTCAGAGACGTCTGCCATCCTTGTAGCGCTCCCTGGTCAACGCCTGCCAAGGCAAGAGATGAGTACGCAGTATGCCCCTGGCCAAGACATCTCGCTGAGTGGATCCAGCTGCGCAGCCCCGAGGCACGCAAAGCATGGCAGCTGAGCATCGCACGCGCAAGCCTAGTGTCAACTCCATTCAACTCCGCGCGCCTGCAGGTCCTGGCCAGAGGTCTATCATCCACTCAAGCGGTGAGAAGAAAGACTCTCCCCTGTCTCGTAGTCTCGAGCTGGACACTGGACGGCGTGGATGCTGAAAGCAGTGCTCATGCTCAGAGCAGACTGCTCAAGCTCAAAAACTGTATGCAAAAGAGCCAGTCATTGGATTTTGGACTCCGCGGCTCAAGCGCTCTTAGCAGACGTCAAGAGGTTAGACACTGTCTGCCTAGCGAAGTATGTCTATTGACGGGAGAAAACCCTAAGCATCCTGCCACGGCCCTGAAAACCCTATTGCACGCACGCAGCAAGCCCCCGCTTCCACAACAAAGCTGGCACGTCACACACGGACACGTCCTGACCCGTTAGGCCTACTGAAGGCCTGAACGTGCATGCAGAACGAGTCTCAACGCAGAGATCTCTCCACTTTTAGCGGTGACAAACTGAACACCCACGCTCATCATGGATGCTCTGCGCCTGGTCACTGAGCACGCGTAGCCACACCTTGCACTGCAAGAAACTACACAGTAACCTCAGACACCACGCTAAGGCGACGCTCCCCTCTCGTTCTGAGCTGGGGCACTACTGAATACCCTGGGCCTGGGCAGCAGGTCATCACCAAAGGCAATCCGCGGCGAAAGTTTGAACTGTCCGGCATCAGCGCCGACGGCAGCCTGGCGATGCGTTGGGTCTGTCCTCCACACCTGGGATGGGAAACCTGAAGCAGGAGTGCCCGGACGCGGGGCACCTCCAGAGATCCAGGCAAGGGTCGATCAATGTCTTGCCAGGGGTCCAGCAGGCCGCCTGCACCATCCTGCTGTGGGCTGGCAAGAAGCAGTAGGCGCTGAGCTATCACGGGACGTTCGGCCTGAATCGGAACCTGAGCCCAGATCTGCGCTCACGGAGGCGGCGGCGGCTGTTTGAAGGAAGTGGCCATTAGCACAGGCCCTTGACGGGTTGCGCTTGCACGTCCCCTGTGAAAACCTTTTGCAAGCGCGGCAGACAGCTGACAAGGAAAGGCCTGCTATGGCCAACCACGGTGCTTGGCTCGTCCTGCAGAACCTGCTTCAGCAAACTTTGCGACACGTGATGAGCGTGCTCCTAACACGATGAGCAGTCAAGCCAGAGAGGCTTGCAACTTTTTGATCCCAGACCTTAGCACTCCTCGTCGGTTTCATCCATTTGGACTTGTTCAACGTGTGGCCTGAACATGTCTGAGCTTAGAGCTGCATCACATGAAAAGGACAGGTACCTTGCAGAAGCTGGAAATGATGATGGTGATGCGTTTGGTTGTGTTTAATTAAGGAACTGGCCCACCCGCCCTCCCTACACCAGTGATGGAAAACAAAGCGCTCAGAGTCGGCAATAAAAGCCAATGATTGTCACGAAAGCGAATTCTGAACAAATTTGGCTGGACGCAAAAAAGCAGTCCCTGCACAATCGTTTTGTTGGAAAGCGTGCTTCAAAATTTGAGCACGCTTGTGAAAACATTGCTTGATCACTCTCACGGGAATCGCGCTACTGTAATGGAGCAATGCAAAACACTTCACGCGCTTGCCCACTGTTCAATCGTAGCAACTGCTTGCTAGTCAATTAGGATGCCCACGGCGAGCCAAGTATTGAACGACAAGATGGCGAGTGAGCGAGAAGACTTGTTTGCGCGCCATAATCTGACGGTCTCACCTTGAACCAGCCCTTGCAGAACATGTGACACATGGCAGTGTCACAACGAAGGTACAAGTACTTGTTGGGCAGCTTCTGGAAGGTTTGGCAACCCACGCAACCTGAAACATATGACCAAGCAACGCGAAGGGGAAAGCCACTGGTTGTTCCAATGAGTTGGTGCGTCCACCTCTGCAAGCTATCTCACAAATCATCTCGCTTCTCCAGGAGTTTTGGGTACGCTGCGTGTCATCCACGCACGCTGCACCAACAACGGGGTCATCGACAAGTCTTGCATAGAGTATGATTTTGTCACCGTGCTGTTTCACGAATTTCTACGCCTCTACGCCTTACGTCTGAAAAAACTCACTCCGGCGCAACACAAACTGATTCCTGAGGATCACATTGAGGAGCCTCACAATGAAATCTGCCAGATTATTGCGCGAATAATGGCTGCAATCGTCAACACACTGGTCAAGTGATCCCAGTTGATGCTCAGGCAGAGATTCTTCGCATCAATAATTGCGGTCTCATAGTCTTCTGGAACTTGCCGTGAAAGTGAACCCAGAAATTCATTGCTACTGCTCACCGTGCGCTGTACGCTGTCTTGGATAGGTTTCAACATACTACGTAGGAATAGGCAAGCTGGCGCAAGCCAACTGCCTGACACGTTAACGTTGGGTAAGACTGTCCAAATCACAAAATGCCTGGGACGATTTGCGACGGTGTTCTGCCACATCCTGTCGCTAGAAATGCTCATCCAGGAGACGTCTGAGCTCGTGAAAAACCCACCTCGGGGCATCAGAACATCGCCTAAGCCTGTGACAGCAAAGATAACCACGGCTTCGCGCTTGTTCTTAGCCATGTTTCGAGTGCGACTTCTCCATCGGCTGATTGTCAAAGAACTTTGACGCGTGCAAACACTCTTCCAGTTTGGATACGCTGCAGCGAGCACTGATGCTGGTCCACAACAAACTTGCCACCCTTGTTGAGCTAGAGCATGACGTAGCCAAGAATATGAAACGAAGAAGGCATCCGTGAGCGAATGAACTCGCCAGAGATTCTAAAGGGCAAGCTGCACGTGCTGGTCCTGAAGGATCTACGGACACGAAGCATGCAAAAATTGATGGAATTGAACTTGAACTCCAGTAGCTTCGATCAAGCACCGATTAGGATGCGGCGTATGAAGGCTGGAGGCCTAGAGTGTCAATAGACCCTGCCCCAGGTGACACTGTTGCGGGCGACACCTGAGCGTTACCCTGCTTGCCTTTTCCTTTGCCGCTCCCCTTCATCTTGGCCTTTGCCCCTGCTTTTTCCGCTTTTGGTATCCTTGTACGTTGCTATCCTGCGCGTCGACTGGGACTTGCGCTAACATGAAGCATTCGAGGCGGCTCTGCTCGAATAACGTGTGACCGATTACAACTGCTTCTTGAACTTGCTGGCGTGCTACGTTTTCCAAGAAATGGCGTGGGAGTTCTTCGCTCGGTTGATCTGGGCTTACACGGTGATCATGTAGAACTGGAAGGATATGGCGTGTTCGTATCGACGAACTTCAAGTCAAAGAAGTTGGAAAGATCGGGGTACTTCTTGTCCAGTCCTGCTAGCTCGCTTTCTTTTGTGATGGTTACCTGCTTTGCGCACTGGCCTCCTGTTTGAAACAGCACTGCTTGTTTGTCCAACTGGAGCAGCACAATCTGACACTACCTGGTCTCACCTTCGATGACTGCTGCTTTACGTCTGGATCGAATCTCTGCTGCTTCGCTGAGTTCATGTTGGGAACCTCGTCACGCATCACCACGTTGACAAATTGTTGGCAGCTCACTTGCTGAGGGAAGACTCTGAATGAAGCGACCCAAATGCATCGGCCCAGGTTTTCCAGAGGTTGTGAAGGTTTTCATCTTGTGGAACATGCACAACTGACTGCTGACAGAATACTGCTGTCTGTTCTCAAAGCAAGTGCACCTGCTGCGCCATGAGGTCTTCAAGTGAAGCTTGATCTGATTGAGGACGTCTGGGTTGGCCGGCCGCCGTAACCCCTGGATTCTCCACGACTTCTCTCGATCTAGATCTCAAAGCAGATGAATGCGGTTGCATGCTTGGATGTTTTGAATTAATGACTGTTGGTGTTATGCCTTCTGCCAGCTTGCGGGGCCTCCATGGTGACTCCTTAAACAACAGGGGAACCACTTCTAACACGATGAGCAGTCAAGCCGGTGAGGCTTGCAACTTTTTGGCCCAGACCTAGCACTCCTCGTCGGTTTAGTCCCTTTGGACTTGTTCAACGTATGGCCTGAACATGTCTGAGCTTAGAGCTGCAACACATGAAAAGGACAGGTACCTCGCGGAAGCTGGAAATGATGATGGTGATGAATTTGTTGTTCGTTGGACATGATGCCTCAAGGAACCTTTCTTCAAAACCTGCATCTTGACCTAAAATGGCACAGCCGTTACATGGTTCCACTGAGTTTGACGCAAGTTATCAATCAAGAGCAGGGATAAGAATTGACAGCTGGGCCTGAGGCTTTGGCAAATGGTGGTGGCCAACCAGGGAGTATTTGCTCTGACCAGGCCTCTGCTAGGACTTCCTGGCGTTCGCATCAATTGCTAACATGGTCGCGTGAAGCTGCAAAACTCGCAGCTCCTCGGCCACTGGCTCAGACACCTGGCACGAATGCGCCAGAGGAAGCCACTGATCAGAAATCGTTTAGCACGTCCTGACATGTGCTAACCCAGTGACCTCCATTGGCACGAGCGCCAACTCGGAACGACAGGGTGGATGTCCATAGAATTCGGTCCAGCATCCTTCACAATACCTTGCAACATATCCAGCACGCCATCCGGGTAGATGTGTAGATGTACAAGCATCAATGTAGCTCCTTCAAAATGACAACTTGGGGTTTGAATGCACAAGGGATACAAACGCAGCATAAGCGAGCATCTGGTTTCGTTCCAGGTAGCGAAAGCTAGCGGCTTAATCTCACCATACGGGCACTGATTCAAATCGCTCGGATCCAGGAAGAGACTGCTGGCCTGGCACATGACAGGTGACGCGTGAAAGACAGGTGACACAAAACAACACCAGACTGGTGCCGGACGACAAGGCTCAAGACATACGCTCTCAGCCACCTCTCAGTCATCGAGTTGAGAGCTAGACTAGCTTTTGACTCCTTCAGACCTTGAAAAGCCAGCACACGCTTCAGACCAAAAAACAGAGCAGGGTCCCAACCGCTCTCAATCCTCACAAATCATGAGGTATGCCACTATGCCGCACGGGCCTCTCACTCCCTGAACATTCACCCTCCTGCTTTAAAGCCTCAGAAAGCGTGAATCAAATCTAGGCTTGGAGCTGTTTCGAGAACTGGCTGTCCTGTAGGACCTATCGTTTGAGGTAGCACGTGTGCGCACTATGCAAGTCCAAGCCTCTTCTGACCTGTTGACTGATTCAATTGACCTGAATTTGAGTCGAAGGGCTATCAGCTATCAACCTTGCATCGCTGATGCCTCGTCAGATTGAATTGGTGTATATAAAGTCTGCTTGTGTTGCGCCGAGACACGTGTTTGCGGCATGCTACTGCGACGGTGTTCAGGAGTGCTGAGGTAAATATGAATGAAATTATGTGCTGCAGCACATTGCTGAGTCTCCAAGCAAGTCTGTGAGGTAGTGTCTTGGTTCCCTTAATTGTCAAGGCCTCGCAAAAGCACTGGCTGCACGTAGACGCAGACTTTGTGAGAACACCAGGACTGCAGGTGCTGGCCTTGCTGCAGACAGTCAACAAAACTTCCAGGACTCAGTGTCAACCCTGCTCTTGCTATCTCAGTAGGGTCCAGGCAGTTGATTCCAGTGAAATTTGCTGGTGCCCCTGCTCATGTGCAGCATCAGGCACTCGACTAGGCATTGAGATTAGGCATCGCGGCACTGTCTACTGACAATCTTCGTGGAATCCACCCAGCTGAAAAGCAAAATGGCGATCCCATGCTTCTCAGAATCCACCTCAACTTCAGCTTGGCAGTCGCTCGCAGGAGCCTAGGCCGGAACTGGTGCTTCTGCGATGACTCATGCCGGAAGAACTTGTTGGTTTTGAGCACCTAGTGCTCCAGAACCTTTTCAAGTTTGCCCCACAGCCCACAGCAGACTAGCAGCAGTAAGTTAAAGAGCAGTATTTCCTAGATGCTCGGCAGCACGAGTACGTTTGATGCCGTGTTGCCCTGCTCATCATAACAGCATGGCAAGCCGTTGCCCACTAGAATGCTTCAAGACTGAAATGGTCATTGATTGCAGACAAAAGCTGTTCCACTACACAACCAGCCTCCACTTCGTGCACAACGATTCCCGGTAGTTCAACCTGGCTGGTAGCTTGGCTATTCTCCTCCGATGGACTGCAAACTGACGTTGCCTGATGCCCAGCGTCCTTCAGCTCCTTGAGGCATGACTTAAATGAGGCCTTCCCGGATTCCCAGAAAGCAGCAGAGCCATGATGTCTAGCGACTATCGCAAAAATTAGAAATGTAAGCTTCATCTGATTTGCTGTACATGCCGTTCCTGCTGCAGAGCTGGAAGATCTTTCTCCTGCTGCTCAACCACTGATGGCAGCCCTGCGCACAAGAATGCACAGGGGTTCCAGCAATTTGCAGCACATTGCTGGAAGTTCCGCTCTACCTGGCGCATGGTCTTGCGGAATGATGCTCTCCAAGGACTCCTGCAGGGCACATGGCGAACACATGCTCATCGGCTCATCGCTGAGCGCGCCGTGTCCTTGGCTGAAGGCAACGGACAAGAAGGCTGGACGGCCACAACCGCCTCGCAGCAGGGTTTCACGGGTGTTTGAAGCCCTGCCCTGAAAGCGAAAGCGGCCTAGCGGCCTGGCCTCACAGCGTTCTGCCAACAGCTCATTGGAAGCAGCTTTGGCATCAGGGCTGCGGGCCTTGGGCAGAGGCAGTTTCTCATAAGCATGGCACCCTCGCACAGCTCGAGACAAGCTGCACGTGCGTTGAGCAAAGGCTCGGCCTGCAGTCGGCATGACTACCGGGCAGCGCAAGCAGAACTGTGGAAGTGCGGCAATTATGGTTGCAACAGAGGCAGCCCCGCCCCGGTGTTATATTCAAATAAACGCCTCAAGACATCTTATCCCAAACCTCGACCAGAATGTGCGCGGATGCATCACCCTGGCAGCAGTCTTCCATTTCACTTCTGCAAAGCAACGGCTCCAAGCATCGCATGTGTACCGAGGCAAAATCAAAATGCGCACTCCCAGCACTCTTGCTGAGACTGTGCTTGTTCGTCGTGGCTGGTGGTGTGGCACACTGCCTTTAGCTCCGACTTCAGCTGTTTCTGGAGGGTCGCTCGGCTCTGCTCGCTCTCCTGGACAACTCGCAATGCCTTCAGGAAAGGGAGATGGCCCTTGAAACTTGAAATCTGGCTCCGTCCTTGAGCTCCTGCTGCAGCTTCTCAACCTGCACGAAGGACAAATCTTGCTCACTCTGCCCTAGAAAAATGCACTGGCTTGAATTGGTTGATGTCAGCGCAGGACTTGACCAGGTCTGGTCTGCTTTCCGGCCTCTAGCTGCGAACGTTCCAAGTCCTTTGCCAGGTGTGAAGCACTTGCACCACAGCCTGAGCTTGGGAGCACTGCGGCGGGGCATGGCGGAGCGGCTTAGAAACATGAACCCCACGCCTCTGCATACAAATTCGCATGATGCCTCTGTGAAATTGACGCGAACATAGCGCGTATTTTTTTGACAAGGCTAGCGGACGTTGAAGTTGCAGGGGAGCCCGCTTTTGCCAGATGGTCAGTCCCATTCAAGTCGACCGGCTCCCTGACTCGGACACAAGCCTGTTGAGCCGGTACCATGTTGGTCAAAGCATGTCAAAAGCCTCTGCTGCCAGCGGAAGCAAATGGAAGCAAGAAGTTCAAGTGTGGCTGTGGGGACGAAGCAGATGACGAATAGAATTCATCATTACCCAGTGGCCCCACAGCCGCCAGTCGAAACAGGAGGAAACCGATGCTGCTGAGATCTGCTGAAACTTTGCAGGAGCCACGTTCGCCACGGTTTTCTGCGGTGGCATCGCGAAGCAGAGAGGCTCACCCTCATAGGCAATCAATGAACACGAATGAAGGGCTTGAAACAAGGGACGTTAGCTGAGCTGGCAACAGCTGGCGCACGGTGTTCTTAGTGTTTGCTTGCAGCCGTTTAGAACTCCAGGCCCGATAACCCTCCGCCAAGCTCCGTCACATGCATGTACCGTTTGCCTCGGCGGCACAGTTTCAACGCGCTTGATCATGACGAACACGCACATTCCAGGAATTGTCGTGGATGCTGGTTGGATTCACAGCCACCCACAGACGTATGAGGATATGTCAAGGGCAACAGCATGAGCGCGAGCAGCTAAAAACGATTCTACAAACTGCAAGACCTTGGTCAAAGTCGGCTCAAGCTTTTAGATGCAAGGTTGCGCTCTCGTATCCCATGTCGGTTCCTACGAAGCAAGCACTCACATTCAAGCGGCTCGCAAGGCCTCAGCAAGCTGAAAGCGAACCCATCCCCAACTTACAATTATAGGTCCGTTGTCACCAGGGACGTCTCAGAAGTGGAGGTGGGTGAGGAAGCCCTTGCCGTGGCCAGAAGCTTTCCCAAGTTGTCAGGAGCCCCCATGGCGCGGCATAAGAATGTTTTTTAGGTGAGGAAAATGTTGGCCTTCGCAAGATTGCAGCCAAAGGAACCTTGATTTAAATTACACGGCTGCGCTCCTCGACTTGCATCAGGGTATTTGGTCCATTTCATCTCCTGGTCCTTCTTTGCCAACATGCAGTGCCAGGCAGAGCTCAAGCCTTTCACTGATTACGGTTGTTTGGCTGGTAAGGCTCCGGATTCCCTTTTGACGGCGGCCTGCCCCATCACGAAGCCGAGTCTGTCACCAGTTGCCGCCAGTGGGGTGTCACGGAAGAGAGCAAGGCAAGCAGCTGCAGGCAGCTTCAATATGCCTTGCCAAGGATCTTTGACTGCAAGGACTTTCGGCGACGCAGGGCGCCAAATGGCAGGTGCTTGGCTCTTAGCCCTCCAGGAATGCACTTTTGCGAAGCACATCAAGGTTGCCAAAGCAGCCTGGCACACCACCAGGCGACGATCCGGCAAAATCTATCAAAAAAACCTTCCCGTACTGGAAAATTTGGTCCCGTAGACATTTCAAGCATGCTGTCCCCTCTGAGAGGAAGAAGTGCGAAGCCTGACTGGTTTTGAGCATGCCAAGTTTCTGCCTGGATATATGTAGGGAGCCCCGGCCCCTGATTGCAATGTCCAACCAGATAGTTACAGCATAAGAGAAGCATTGTTGGAGGATGATTTGGCTTGCACATGCATTAGCCCTACTGCTCAAGCAACCTCGCAAAGGGCTACCTGAATCTACCCATATCCCCATCCATGGGGATGTGGGAACCCCTGCCGTACTAAAACTCCTAAAGTACTAGTTCGGATACTTAAGGATTGTCATGCCGGACGTATACTCGGCTGTCCTTCTCAACCCTTCTGAAAACATAGATTTTAAGACTTAAAGGTATTACACTATACTACACATTCGTAAAAGGTCGATGAAGGAATTGCGTATAACTACATCTAAAAGCCGATCTTAGAGGAGTAGGGCATTCATCCTGCTTTAAAGGCGTTGTCAACCAGGCCTAACTTTTGGCTTCACGTGAGTGATCCCGAAAACCCCTGCGATTGGCCCATTGAAAGCTCCACCCTTGAGAAGAAGCCATCCCAGCCCCATCTGGCAAAACATCCATGGTTGGTGAAACCTGGGCATCCAAATCAACTGAAACCAGGAGGACTGAAGGGCGCACAGTGAATTGGAACCATGCACGCTTCTGCCAAAAACCTTGCAATCGACGTGGGCAAGCTGTTTTTTTGCAGCTGTGCGAAAAATTTCCCGTCGACAAGGCAGCAAAGCACTAACAACTTTGACAAGCCTTCGTTGATAGGAGAGAGCTTGACATGGCCTGTCTGCGGCGCATCTTTCAGGCGAAGGTTGCTTCTCAACTCTTTATCGGCTTCGCTGCTACACAGTCAATCTCCGACTCCAAAGTGAAGCAGCACAATAGCCAAAAATCTTCGTGGCGAGAACTTTCAAAGCTACGTCTGAGTTGTAGAAATCGTGTTCTGCCTTCCAAAATAACTCCCTGAAAACATCGGATTGTGACTGTATAAACGCAAACCTCGCGGAAAAGAGCATCTCAAAGAGGCGCCACGCTTCTCAAAAACCACCAGCGAAGATGTCCCAGCCACCAGTTGGGGGACTGCACTTGGATTTGAGTTAGGATCCGGAAAGCCCATCGCTTCTCCGCGCTGGCTTTCGTGGCAAGCTCACCCATTCTTTGGGGTCTCTCTCACGATGCCACAAATGGATGCAGATGTCGCACGCGTACAGTCTAATAGGGCTCAAGGCTCAAGTTACTGAGACATAAGCGGCAACAAAGAGACAACTTGTTTAATTGTTGTGCCCCCTATTTATGAATACTTGAACACAAATGAGCTCTAAACCTTTTATTTTGTCCTAGAAATGGCCAAAACTTCCAGGGGGAGATGTCCAACATCCCGGAGCCTACGGACAGGTTGTTCAGATGCTCCAAGGTCTCATAGGTTTGCTTCCGAACTTTCCCCAAGCGACGCACACACAACTGTGAATCACTGCAAAGTTCAACAGCAGCAGTGGTACACTGAAACAACATTTTAATGGCATGAGCTTCAACACGAGGGACCGTCTGTTCATATCCTGGCAGGGGCCCTCCCAAAGTGGCCTGAACATCAAACGGTGCCACGCGACGAATGGCCACAACACTCCAAGCACACAACCTGAGGCGTGGCTCGCAGGAAATAAGGCCACCAGACCCATCCGTGCGAAAATAAAACTGCGAAGCATCCAAGCTCCGAAAAGATTCCCACAAGCCAGTGGCTGTGCAAATGCATTGCGACCCTCTCACGTAGACCTCATCAGGCATGGCAGTCAAGGAGGCTGGCACCGAACCTAGCAGCCATACACAAGGACTGCAAGCCCTCTTCATCCAAGAACAGTTCCCATACCTCAGGAATGGGACCAAGTCGCGCAGACACAGCAGGGCATTTCCACAACTTGTGCTTCAAGCTGGCATTCAAGCCTCCCACGCCGAACACGCCTCCTCAATGCCGCAAATTCTGGCTTGGCAGCATCTTTGTCGAGTGTCTTTTCAATCCAAGCGGCATGGGTGCCGCCACTTGCTGCAAAAAATTGGAGGTCTGGGCTGCGGTGCAGGCTGGCGACGTCCGCTAAATATGTTTTGCTTCAGAAGCAATGTTGACATCATATTAATAAACCCCGCACAATTGCACGTAGTCAGAACCTCGCCGTAATTACAAGATCCACTCCGCTTACTACTGGAGCTTCGGAGCATTGACCTGAATCCCTCTGTTACATAGGCCCGGGCCCATATCTAGGGGGTGGAGGGAAGGAGAGTTCTTAGTAGCAAGTGGACATTAAAGCGGTCTAGCACATGGAAAAGCACAGGCTTGCTGCACTGGGCCAATAAGAAGATGAATCAGTAGAACCCTGCCACATCCCCTGCATCTCATGAGATATGGGGGTTTTGTTCATCAGCCGCAGCTCACACCCTGTTCGAAAGCATGGCAGCAGCTTTTAGCATCTCGGAAACCTAGACCCAGGTGCAGCACTGACCAACAGCTGGCGTGGCCGGTTGGGACAGGTACTTTCCAATCAAGGGTTACGCGAAAAAAAACAAAAAATGAAATGTGACAAACATCTCATCTGCCCTAGCCCTGAAGACCTCATTCGCCACAGATTTTCTCGGCTGTGCAAATTTTGATTTTCAGATACAACATTGACACCTAGAAACAGCCATGTTGGAGCTTCTACTGCTTCCCAAGCTCGCTCTTTTTCCAAGTCCGAGCTAATCGAGGTGCTTGAAGCTGGAGAGCCCTAAAGGCGCTCAGCTTTCTCAGCCCAAGGGCGGGCAGGTGGGCCCTTGAAGCTGCAGAGGAAACTCAAACATGCTTGAACATGTTGGAGCTTCTACTGCTTCCCAAGCTCGCTCTTTTTCCAAGTCCGAGCTAATCGAGGTGCTTGAAGCTGGAGAGCCCTAAAGGCGCTCAGCTTTCTCAGCCACTATCCACGCCCGGCCAACAGCAAGTAAGAAGCCCGGAGGGCATTGCACTCAACGTGCGCTGGGCGGAGTGAGCAAAGCGAAGGGGAAAAAGGCCACTGCCGCAGAGATCTGTTCCCTGGATCGTCTAGGAAGACCAGGTAAAACTGATCCAGCTGAGACTTCCTGCAAGTAGTAAGCCAAAGTATTTTGGCTTCGAAGCCGCATCTGCCATTGTAGTTCACTGATCAGAACTCCATTCTGATAAGCCGCAACTGCACCTCCGCCACGGATGGACCCGGGAGTGATCCTTGAAGAAAGAGGCAGGCCCAAAGCAGTCAGTAGCTTGTCCCAGCGTCTCCGGTAAACGTTGGGGCTGCCGAAGTACAGAGGGTCCGAAGGCCTAAGAAGGGCAGCAGTGCTCATCACAAATCGAGCGAAATGGTACAGTGCTGGATTCGAGCGCCTCTGCCCCGCGATTTCGGGT